GGGGCGGGCTGGTTCTCCCAGGCTTCCCGAGCCACGTCTAGAAGGCCCCTGGGCTGTCTCCCAAACAGCAGTTCGAAGGGGGTGAAGCCTGTGGAGGCCTGGGGTACTTCTCGGACTCCAAAGAGCACATACGAGGTCCCAGTCACGCCCATCCTCGGCCACCACCCGCTTCAGCATCCGTTTGAGCGTCTGGTTGAACTGCTCCACCAGGCCATCCGTCTGCGGGTGGTAAACCGACGTCCTCAGGTGCTGGACCTTGAGGAGGTGACAGAGGTCCACCATGACCCGGGACATGAAGGGGGTACCCTGGTCAGTCAGGATTTCCTTTGGGATCCCGACGCGGCTGGCCAGCAGAAACAGTTCGCGGGCAATGTTCTTGGCGTTGGCCGCTCGAAGTGGAATGGCTTCCGGGTACCGGGTGGCATAGTCCAGGATAACCAGGATGTGCTCATGTCCCCGGGCAGACTTCGGCAGCGGTCCCACCAGATCCATCCCAATCCGCTCGAAGGGCACATCGATGACGGGTAGTGGAATGAGCGGGCTGGGGGGAGGATGACAAGGAGACGTCTGCTGGCAGGTGGGACAGCTACGGCAGAAACGTTTAAATGAGGGAGGGGGTGGGGCCCCGGGAGCCTGTCTACCTCATCAATGCGGCGCACTTGATCCCAGCAGTTCCGCAGGTGGTCGTCTTCGCGTTGTTCCCTTCTGAACGAGCCCCCGGTCGTGACCTGGGAAAACACATCAAGGTAGACAGAGGGTAGATCAGGGGGCTGACACTCACCCTCCCTCTTGCTGTCCGTCACTAGGTAGACCGGCCTTGGGTGGGGCGGTCCCCGACGGGGTCGCCGTGGCCCGTTCCGCTGAGATCCACACTGTACGGTCTGGTACATAGCGGGTGTCTCCGTGCACACACGTCAGCGGCAACTGGGATTTCTGCTCGGGCCTGGGTCGTACCAGGGATGGTTGTACGAGGGTGACTGAACTGCCGGAGTCCAAGAAGGCCTGTACGGGTTTCCCTTCCAGTTTTACCATCCTGCTGGGGCCCGGGGAAAGTCCGTCCTGGTGCAGGAAACACCCCCCATCCAGGCCCGGGCCATCGGGTCCGGGGGTTCCGTGGGCATTGGCTCATCCGTCAAGTCGGGGACCGCCGTGGTGCAGATCCCTCTCCCAGGGTGCCTTCAGAGTCTGTGAAATAAGGAGAACAATCGTTAATGTCACCTGGAGCTCTGGGGTGCCCTCCCGCTGGTGTCTCCTCTCCTGGCTTTTAAGGCCAGCGGGAACGAGCTCCAGGTGCGCCACTCATCGTGCACAGGTGTTGTGCGTCGGTGATCAGTGTGGCAGCGGCGTTTCCAGGGCGACGCTAATCTGGACTCGGGATACTCGCCACAATATATATATATATTATAATTAAACTAAGCTTAATATCAAGTCATTTTGCTTCTTATGTAGATGTATCTTGATGCAAGAATATTTAGATATTTGTACTGAAAAACAAGACAGAAATACTGTGGAAGAATATGATTTTTTTCCCAGTGATTTTGTAAATTTAAATAGCAAAGCACTTGTTAACACATGCAAAACATGCTGCTGTTGAAGCGTTTCTACTTTTAGCACATGACCCATAAATTATTGACCAACATGAGAGGAATCAGAATGAATGGGTTTGCATGCTTTTCAATGCACAGGGATGTCATGCACAGCTAGAAATGGATGCAAAACTACTTTAGCATACTGACCTATGAAGCTGTAGATATTTTAAACCGATCACTGTCACGAGAGATAGAGATCAGCAATACTGACGGCTATTGTAGAAGGAAAGTATTGAGGATTGAACAGTGTTTGCAGTGCAATTATCTGTTTGATTGATACGTGAAGCGAAGAAACTGTTTCAACATGCTTCAGATATCAGATTTCTATAATGCTTTTCATTGAAATGCATGTACGCAAAGA